AAGTGGGGTTCACTGCACTTTCTTACTTTGGAAAAAGAATTATCAAGCTACAAATGTTGAGAAATGCTGAACCTGACTCTGCCCCTGCCAATAGCTGCCAGGCCACTACCACTCTGGAACACATCTCACTTGTGACCAAGACACAATCAATTTCTTGCTTGTTAAAATGAGCAGAGTAATCCTGGAGAACAGCTGAGTCAGGCTAACTGTGGGGTGAACTCAGTTCACTTAGTTGGCCTGTGGCATCTGCCCTCTGTGCCCAGAGCTGCTGTGCCAGTCTCCTGAAATAGCTGTCCTCATAAACATTGTGTCCCATCCTCACTTCATCCCTTACACCTGCTCCTCTGCAAAGTGAGCATCTGAGCTGCTATGGCGAGACCAGCACATGACACGAGCACTAACAGACTGCATGGAAACTTCCAAAAGGTGGCAACTATCCAGCAGGAATCTCTGGCCTCTGCCTTATTATGAAAAGTGCCAGCTGACATTTCTGGACTAGCTCATTTTTTTCCTTTCAGCAGTGGGAAGAGAACATGACCTTTGCTAACATCGGGCAGCCAGGAACAGTTACCTACCAGCACGTTCTGTACTTATTCTTCTGTACCAAGTGGTCCTGGGAGCAATCCAAACACCCGGATTAAAACAACCCCTTCCAACGCTTCATACTCAGCTTTAAATAATGGTGTCTTCTACTGCACTTCAAGCACACTAAACAGTGCTGATTTCATTTTTACCTTCTTTATTAAGAGAACTTCCAGCTTCGCATCCAAACTGAGTTTACATGTTCCTCTTGGTTGCTCTTTATTCACATTCCTCTTGGTCCAGGAAAACCAGTAGGTAATTTTCATTCCTCTGTCCTCCTCCATTACAGCCACCACCTAGGGCTGTCTGGAAGCAGAGGCAGAGCAGAAAGCATGCCATTCCAGTGCTGGATGCTGTGTATTTTTTGCTTCTTAGCTCCCAAGAAGAGCTGCCAAGTCCTAAGTGACTAATTTCTGCCTATATGATGCCACTGCAGGTGCAGCTGGTAAGGACGTTTACAATAGAGATGCCCCAACACACATTCTCCCTTATGCATCAGAGGTCCCTGCCTTATTCAAATACCACCAATATGCTTGATGACCTCTCTTCCCCAGACACCAGGCAGAAACTAGAGTTGGGGAGGCTGTTCCAATCTCCATGGGAAGAGGAAAATCAGGTAAAGAAGGACACAGCGTGAACAAAGGCTTGTCCATGGGTGGACAGCACAGGGGGGAGTGTGCTAATACTGGTGACCAGAGCAGTGCCTAATACACTTAGGAAATGGAGGTGTGGTCAGTACCTGACAACTGTGATGTTTGTACTCTAATATCAGGAGACCAAGCAACAAACTGGAGGAACCTGAATTACTGGTGCAGAACACAAAGCAGGATGTAAGAGAGATACAGAAAACAACAGGCCTGAGGGGAACAGAAGTACTGAAGGGCATGCACTGTTCAAGGACAATGGAAATAAAAGACAAGGGGGCGTGGTAGCATGGAAGTCTATCACCTGAGTAACATACAAAGAAATAAGGGAAAGCATGGATTAAACACAGCCAGTTTTGGTCAAAATCACCCTGGAGCCAGATAGTTTAAAAAAAAAAAAAAAAGCTGTACTGGAAACATGCTGTCAAGACACAAGGTCAGATCAGCATGTGGTCAGAGATCTCTGTGAAGTTGTTAGAGAGAGGAAATAATACCAGAAACGTTAACTTCTTACAGATAAAGTGAAGAGCAAATGCTACTAGTAGTGATAGGGCTCAGATATTTATTAACCACACAGTCACTGAACCAACAAGACAAGAATACTATTTCAGGCTTGGTTTGAACAGTAATGAAGATACTATCAAAGAGCTGGCTACTTAAGACACTAAAATCCTTTGCTTGAATGACCACAAGCTGGTTCAGTTTATATTTAAATGGAAAGATAAACCAAAGCAGAGCTGTAACTCAGGTTGCCTATTCCAAAAGGGCAACCTAATAACATGAGAGAAAGATTCAGTGAAGTTAGCTGGACTGAGAAGGGAAAGCACTTGAACATGGATGAGGCCTGGAATTTCTTTAAGTCAAAGGTGCTAAAAACTAGATCAGGATCTGTATACCAATCAAAGAGAGTGGAGGACATGTAGGAAAGGGCACCCAATCGAGCTAAAAAGGGTCCGTCAGCAAAGCAAGCCACATCTCTGAGGCCAAGAACTGCAGGGATACAGATCCTGATGGGATCAAATCAAAATGACCAAAGGCTAAACATTTGCAAGAAATATCCAAACAAATGGCAAAAGGTTCCTCAGCTGTATAAATACAGGCTCACTGCTTTCCTTATTGTGTTTTGCAGCACAGCCGAATTAGGGCATGAATGATCCAGAAATGGCCCAAGAACTAGCTGAATACTCCACCTAAGTTTTGATGAGAGCTAAAAAAGGACTGGCATGTGGGAGCTCAGGTCCTGTAGCAAATATTTTAGAGAGAGACTTGAGTCAGAGGTGAGGACAGAAAAGGTAATGCATATGCAGTATTTATGCATTACCTTTTCTGTCCTCACCTCTGACTCAAGTGGGTACAGGGGTAGATCTGGGCAGCTACAGATTTACCTGATCTTGAGCGTATGCATGGCTTAAGAGGCTTTCAAAAAAAGTGAGGCGTGAAGTGATAGATTAGCTAAGCAGACAAGTGCGGACTCAAGCTTGTCCCTGCCTGAACCATCTCCCACCCCTCTGGCCCAGTCCCTCTGCAAGGAGGTAAGCACTGTTACATATAAAGTCATTTTGAAATTGGGTGTCACTCCATTCAAAAGAGTGCTGGACAGGTGCCTTGAGACCAGTGAGGGGCGCCTCAAATCCAAAGAAGTTGAGAACCACTGACCTAGATAATAACTAGTTAAGAAAGTTATAGCGAAGAGTTAAAAATGGAGCTTAGTAGAAGAACTGTAAGACTGATAAGCAACTGGCTAGCAAGCAAACAGCCACAGGCAGTGTTTAAACAGGGAAGTTATCAGGCTGGAGGGAGGTCACTGGCTAAGCTCCTCAAGAAATGGCCATAGCACTAATCTTTTTTAACACTTTCAGTAATGGCTGGCACAAAATAAGGGATTGTGTTATCTGCTATTGGCAAATCTAAACAGCACAAGCAAGTGTTGTCAATGCAGAGGCAGATGTGAGTATCATACAGAAAAAATGGATGCACTTTAGGAGTAACAGAAACAGGATCAAATTCAATAGCACAGAGAGCAAGTCATGCATTGGGCACTAATCACAAGCTTCTTATTCCCTAGGATTTCTCCATTGGAAAGCTGAATGAAAAGTACTAGGAGATTGCACCACCAGTGTTAGGCAGCTGTGGAGAAGGTAAATGCCAACCTGTGATACACTTCAGGAGACAGACTTGTAGCACAGAGACAAAAGTACTGATACACTGGTGAGAGACCAGTACGATCTCATCAGAAATGCCATGTATGGGTGATCAGGGGGATAGAGAGTTTCTTACGAGGCTTGTACAGCCTAGCAAAACAAAGGCTGAGATGAGATATAACGGTCTAGAATACACTGGAGGAGCAATAACAGAGAGGGAAAATAGCTATTTAAATGAAAGGACAACACTGGCATGAGAAAAAATGGGCATGATCAACTGTCAGAAAGAAACTTGAAACTGGAAGCTGAAAAAAGTTCTCTAACCATGAGGGCAGTAAGGGGCTTTCAGTTGAAGCAGGGCAAGGAGCCAAACTACAGTTAAGATGCACCTTGATCCATGCATGAAAAGGAAAAGCAGAGTTTCACATGGGATCTGAGTGAAGCATGAGATGATGCCTGGAAATCAGTTTGAGAGAGCATCCCAAAGAAAAGTGGCAGCATGGAAGTCAGCATGGTGACACCTGAGGAAGAGACAGAAAGAGGTGACATGCCACCCCTGGATCAGTCCACCCACTGTGCACGTTCCAGTGTTGCCTACAGGCCTCATGGGTGCCACACAGGCTTGCAGTAATGAGACTGCATCTGCCCCGAAAACCTCCCAGTCTGCACTACAGGATGCAGCAAGCAGAAGAAACAGAGTACTTGGTGAAGTTTATCCTTCCCCCTCCCTTCCCCTCACCCCTGCCCCCAGGGTTTCAATAGGAAGAAAGGAAGCTAGTGGTCGTGGGTGGCTAGATATATGGTGCTGCTGCTAGGGATGGGTATTACTCCAGTCTCGGTGCTCCCCGATGGGCAGCTTGCTCCATCTTTTATAGCATCTACTTGTGTCCTTGATTCTTGTAAAGGGCACAGGTGCCTTGTGTCTGTGCTGTCAGCAAGCCCGACCCTTCCTTCAAGAGTGGAGCATGTAGCGGGCAAACTGGGATACGCTCAGGCTTTTTAGTCCTAGTCTAGGCCTTCCCGGAACTAAGCAACAAAACTGAACAGAGCGCCTTCTGTGGCCCTGGGAGACGGGAGTGCTGTGACTGGGCACTAGGGGAGCAAAGCACAACAGTCCCCATATAAAGAACATGCTTGGCACAGTGCCAGGGGATTGGATAATTTAGGATGAGAAAAGTTATAATAGTGATGGACAAATAAAGGAACGTGTATATCGTGCAGTGACCCTGGGAGGACAGACACAGCTTCTGGATCCCTGCTTGAACAGCAGGGAGCCAGAAACCAAGATCTCACACACCCAGTGAAGGACCTGAGGCCTGGTACCCCGATGGTCAGCACTGTAACGTCCAAGAAGCCACTTGCCAGGTCATATTACGGGGAGGAAACCTGTAATATTGCCTAGGAGTTACTACTAAAGTTCACTTGATACCACATCAGATGAGTTGCCGTATCAATCCTTGTGGGGGGGCTCTGGCAAAAATAATTCTATTGGTAACAGAGCAGATGGGCAGTCCTGAATGACAGGAACTTTTAGGGCTTTCCCATCTCTAGCTGTGTTGATACGACACATCACTATCACTTTAAAATGTGCCCCCCTTAATCACCAAGAGATCTTTCTTAGCATAGTACTTACCGTCTGCAAACATCCAGCAAAAACAGTGAATCCCTTTGCATGAAGCTGCTTTGCCAAGGCATGTCCAAACCCCTTGTCGCAGCCCGTTATTAGCACCGCCTTTCCTTCAACCTGTGCAGGGGAAGACAACAGTATATGGAGAGTGGATACTTACTGTAATACATGGGCCTTTTGCAGTGCCACAGAAACCCGTTAAAATACAAAGATATCAGACTGCATATTTCTAGTACAGATATCGGCTATGATCTGGGATGACCAAACAGGGGCCATTTCAAAGACCTAACTTTCCATTCTCCCATGCCTTGCACCCTGCGTGTACAGTTTTACCGGGACCCAAATTCTCCACTCCCTGACACCAACAGCAGTATTTTGCAGCCAGTGAGCGCAGGTATAAACAACACCTGCACATGCAAGGCACAGAGGGTGTGCCTGTAGTCTCCTGCTGAGTTTACATCAGGCTAACCCCATCAACTTCAATGGACTTGCTACTGGTTTATGCCAATATCAGGGAGATCAGAACTTGGAGACCCTTGTCCAGAAATGCCAGGATTGTTCCACTGAATCAGCACTGGAAAGGACCGCAAAGGTCCTTTCATTTAGTCCAACAGGTGATACACTTTATAAACTGGATTGTGGGGTGTGAGAGCAGGAATGGCAGAGTGGGGACATGTTGTCACTACAGCGTAGACTTACCCTAACATTTGGCAAATGAGGTGTCAACTCATCCAGTGGGCTGGTCCCTGCAGCAGGATAGAGCACTGGACTAGAACCTAGGGAAACCTGGGTTTTAATTGCTGCTTTGCCCCTTCCCTTGGGGGTGACTGCAGACCACTTGCCACACCTCTCTGAGCATCAGCATTCCTGCCCAAATGCTGAGGAGCATTGCTCCCCATAGGACTGATGTGTGTATGTGTAAACAGCAAATGAAAAACTGAAGTAACACAAATAAGACCTAATCACAAAAATGAACCTACCTATAGAACATATAGGGCTACGTGAAGTCTGACTCGTATTCAAAGTGAAAACAAATGGCTAATTATTGCTGCAGTAGGGGAGGGATGGTTGATTATTTTCTCATTGCATGTAAGCTGCAAAAGTCTAAAATGTAGAAGCAGCTGGATTTGCTGATCTCTAGAACAGCTGAACCAAAATTAGTTTTAGAAAGTTCAAAATACCTAGGTTTCCCCATGAGCTAGTTTAAAAATTTTGCATTTGCCCTGGAAGACGCATCTCAAGTCAGCTGCAGCTAACTGATACTGCCTCATGCACCTGGAACATCAGGCAGAACTTGTGCTGCTCTCTTTGAAGTGCCAGCAGCCTAACATAACAGCAGCACTTCAAAGGGATATTATTAATTTTATACCAGTACAGAGACACTGGGGAAAAGAGCATAAACTACATTCAAATGATAGAGAAGAATTTCTCTTACTTGTATACCTGTGACTTTTTGTGGTCTTTTCTGCATCTGTCCCCTATATGTGGAATATTTTCCGTGCTATATCATTTCAGAGTTATTTAATGGGGCATGTAGAAATACAGAATGTGTATTACCAGGTCTTTATGAAACACTGCAAATATCACATTGTACCACATAAATGTTCAGCCTGTCCTCTTAGCAGTATTGTCTCTTTATGGATAACCAGAAGTCCTAAGGATAACCATCGAGTCCTGGGGGCTGGACTCGATGATCTTCCTAGGTCCCTTCCAGCCCTAATGTCTATGAAATCTAACCAAGCCATCCTATGCTCTAAACCTTAGGTAATACTCCCTTTCTTTGATGGAGAACTCCCTCTCACCCCCATTTCATTCTCTCTACTACGGTAGTTATGCAGCAAGAAACTTCAACAGCTAATTGAGCCAGTGGGACACCTAGCCAGTGCTCTCTAGCTCTGCAAACTGAAGCTGCGACTATACAGCTGTGCTATCTGTCAGCGAGTGATGCTAGACAATACAACCCTAGGGAAAGCAGTAAGGACATTACAGCCCATACGGCTGGAGAGGGGCTTTCAGCCACTGTTCTCGGTCTCCTGTCCAAGAAGCAGTTTCTAGAATACAAGTGTCCCGCACCCTGTCGACCTGTTCCATCACCTGTCCCAGATAAAATACAGCCGGTTGCTCATGTGCTTATTTTTTCTTTTTGCTGATAGATGTAGAAGTACAATGGCAACACAGGCAGTGGCAGTAAGGATCAGACCATGGCTAATGTCCAAGTTCAGAACCAAGCAGAGTAGATACTGGTGACCAAATAGACTATGTCCATCCTCCACCTACAGTGAGCATTGTTGCTTGTGCAAGAGTGATGATCTGAAGTTCTGACTAGGCTCAGAGCAAAGTGCAGATACAAACAACCCACCATCTGAAGGACAAAAGGGAGATGTGAATTAAACGCACAAGGATGACTCTGATCTTGTTTGCACTGACTCAGACCAGTGTGAGGCTGGAGCTGGCCAGTGTACAAGTGAGACCATGGAGCTAATCCTGGCCATGTCTACCCACCACCAGACACCAAACCCTTGATATCCTCTTCTCTGCAGAAAGAGGTGCAGTTTTAGATCTTCGCCACTGCCCTTGGGCTCTCTAGTCTGAAAACAGGTCAGTTCCCAAAGATACAGTAGCTCAACAGCCTTTTGGAGCTGGCCAAAAGGAACAAGAATCAGCACAGTCAATGGGACTCAGCTCCCTTATCAGCAGATCCAAGAAGAGCCAGGCTCAGCTGAGTAAAATAAGGGAAGATCTATTTGAAGATGACTGGACTGCATGTGAGTTTGATTCAGCAGCTCTTGGAGCTAGGCAGCTGCGTGGTACCATGGAGGGGAGGGGAAGTGGGGAGAAAGAAAGCAGAGCAAAGCACTGAGATATGGCTCTTATCTGTGTGAAGAGTGGCAGAAATGCAGGAAGTTGCATGCAACAGAAACAGCTTGCCAATACCACCTGCCACACCCCTACTTGCTAGTAATGAACAGATTGATTACAAGCAGCTCCCTTGTAGGCAGTAGCTGCAGAGCTGGGTCCTACAGGCATTGTCAGGTTAGTAGGTGTCCCGCTGGAGGACTCTCCAGTATGTCTGGTGCGTGCAGATGTCCAGAGCAAGACCAAGAGCAAGAGCAAGGCCAGAGTTGCAGAGAGATGACACCATCAGAGGAAGTGGAGGTGCCATCCTTAAAGTCCTGGATGCTGAAGGGAGGGGGATTGTCCTGAACCTATGTGGTATGGATGAGATATTGCCCAACAGGTCTTTTCCTTCTTGGCTCCTGTGCTTCTGCAAGGGGCACTCCCTGACCCATGACATGACAAAATAAATTGTTCTTTATGTAATGAGAAGTGGAAAATAAGAAAGGGTGATGCCTGCTATGGCAGGTTGTTCTCCTCAGCCTTGGACAAACTGCACATCAGGGTCTCTGCTTTCAGGTGAGAAGAGCTAGGGGACCATTGCCCATGCACCGATTGGTTTTGTGCCTGCATGTGGCTTGAAGAATTGCTTGTATTATTTGGGAAAGCCATGGGGACGGGGGGATACCTGGCGTTTGACACCTGGCTCTGCCCCCAGCTCATCATGGGACCATGGGCGAGTCTCTTCACTGCTCTGCTCCTCAGCTCTTTCTGGGCAGAATGGAGGTAAGAGCTCTCCCTAGCTCACAGGCCTCTTGTGAGCATAAGCAATGCACTAGTGGCTTGGAGGGGTTCACATGCCTCAGTGATGCAGACTAAGTGCTTGGGAAGATGTCCTGTAGTCCTGGCAGATCTCAGAGCGGTCACAGAGAGAAACCATAAATGACCTTACTTAAAAACAGGGTCTGATTAGCTTTAAAATAAGTTGTGATTTTCACAGAACACAGAACTAGACCCTCTTACTGCAACAGAAGCAAGGTTCAGTGAAGCCAAGCGATTTGGAAACCTACCCAGACTTGTCTAGACTCACTGATGTTCCCTCTCTCCCTTGTTTTTCAGGGTCCTTCCCCTTTGAACCCATCCTTGACTATCTCCTTGTTATCTCATAGAATGGAGATGCATTTTCAGTTCAAAACAAGCAGTTATGATACTGAACTTTGCCTGTTCCAACACCAAACCCTTATTTCTACACTGCCTTACCACGCTCTTAAGCTTTGGGACCCCAGGAAGGGATTGCTCCAAGTGTACCAAAGTGATGAAGTGATTTCATAATCATATAAAAGCATTCAGTTTATGGCTACTGAGAAAAGCATCCAGCCCCTGGTAACACTGCTCTGCTGAACAGCCCAGCCTGCCTCTGACCTATGGGTTTTCCTAACACCCTGATGTTGTGAATTGCTTAGTGAAGATGTGCTGCTGCTCTGTGAAGTCTCCGTGTAGAAGCAGGCCTGCTTTCTGTGCTTATTTGAGTGAGACAGATCAGATCTGGGAGGGCCTACGCAGCGACAGCAAGGGGAGGGGTGTCTGGACACTGGACAGCAGTGCATGGGCCTGCATGTACATGCAGCAGAAAGCCAGAGCTAGGAACTCCTGGCAGCACAGGTCAAGCTCATTTATGACTCTTTCATAATCCTTGCAAGCAGCAAGGATGTAACTTGCTGAAATAACACAAAGCCTACTGGTCTTCACAGAGAAATCACCAGCTTGAACTGGTGCTTTGGTCCAGCTAATCAGCATCCTGCTTGGCTGCGTCAGAGGACAGGGTAAGAACCCCGGCAGAGCAGATGCAAGATGCTCTGCTCCACGTTCAGGTTCCTGCTCATCTCCTGGGCTCCAAGAAATGAGGTCTGGCATCCTCTTCACAACTTCTATCACCCGCAATAAGTCCGGGTGTTCTCAACGTGCAGGTCAGCGTTCTGCTCCCTTCTGAGCATGAAGGCTTCGGCCTCCACGACTCTCCCCCTTGTAGCTGGTTTCAAGCACAGAGGTCTCAAGAGCAACCACAGGGTGACGTCTCATGAGTCGCTTCACTGTTGGGGTGTGTGACTGGAGGTGGGCAGGGCATCCCTCCCCGAGAGCACCGTGGAAGCAGTGCAGATGTTGAACTCGATGACCTTTGAGGTCCCTTCCAGCCCTTAATTTCTATGATGCTATAGACTCTAGACCTGTAGTCACCCCCTGCGAGACCCTTTGCAAACCCTACAAGAAGTGCTCTGAACTCCCATCTAGTTCTGCATTAGCCCTCTTGAGATACAAGATACATATTTGCTTTTTTTCTTGGATCCTCCCAACCCCCCAGTTGTACAGTGGCCATCAGCTTCATTTGTTTATTCCAATTGTGGGCTGCTCTGCTCTGCTCTGCTCAGGAAGTACCATGTTGATGGGCCTGGCTTTTCTGTTCTGTTCTGGCTTTGCTTCTGCACCCTCTTCTTGCGGGCAGACGTGCTGTCCTTTGGCACGGATTTATCTTGGGGACGTTCTGAAGGCGCGTCCGTACTCGTCATCTTGCCACGCTGGAGGCTTTAGGCTGCTTTGCATTATTTACATTTTCTGGTTGCGTAAAAAAATCCCTTTCTAAGGTTCATCCACAGGCATTTACTTTGGGATGAGCCAATCTCCTTATTATTTACTTTTGCACCCCATTGATTTGTCTTTAAATAATTGTATTATAATATTCTCCATATTTTTTTTACCACAACATTGCTTAGGCACCTAACATCCAAACCAGGGGCAGGCAACGTTTTTTGGCGGGAGTGCTGACAAAACCACAATGTCTACGGGGCCGGTGGGACAGGTCTGCTTGCAGCCTCAGAGCCGCCTGCGGGAGCAGCCCGGGCGCCGGGGCTGGCAGCAGCTGCCTAGAGCCCGGGCTGGCAGTGGCGTGCCGACCAAAATGGCCTGGCGTGCCATGCTCAGCACACGTGCCAGGGGTTGCTGACCCCTGGGCTAGATGCGGAGCGGAGCGGTGTGCGTTGTTTCTAGGGACGCCCAGGCCCCTTCCTTGAGCTGGTTCATCCGAAACGTGGCAAGTGCTAGGAGTAACTTAGACCTTCCACCCCGCCACGGTCTGTTGGGGTCGTGGATCCTAAAGAGACCTGTCATCATGCTGTGCTCTCTCTCAACTTGCTGAGAGTTTGTGATCCTCGCTAGTCCTGATCGAGGTAAAAAACCGTCCGATGTGTACCTGCCATGTTTTAGCTTGTTCCCCGTGGCAGATCAGGGATACATGTACGTGCACGCCCGGCACCCCGCACGGAACCGAGTAGCTGTCCGCCCCCTGCCCGCGCGCTCCGGCCTTTCCCTGCAGTAAAACTAGACCCCTGAAATGCGGCTCACGCTCCGTGCCGGCCAGCCGCGAGCCAGGGCAGGGGCGCTC